TCCTTACTGTTGGGTTGTGTGGACTAGTACGTTTCAAAAACAGAAAAGGCTCTCCTCCCACGTGGCTTGGGGAAGTGGGGACACTCAGAACGGATGACTGCAGAGCCTCTGCACCCTTGTGCTGGCTCCCACATGTCCTGTGACTCCTGCAGGTACCGGGCCTTCAGGGATGACGATGGACACTATTCCCGGACCTACTGGAACCTTCTGGCCATCCGTCTGGCCTTCGTCATTGTGTTTGAGGTACCCTGAGGCTCCCTCTGGTTCCTCCAAGGGCTCCTTCACTGGGGCTGGGTCTCTCGGCCTTGGCAGTATGGACGGGGGTAAGGCATGGCCAGCATGAGGAAAGGAGAGGTCTCAGCCCTTCCTGCTCTGTCACTGGGTCATGGCTCCTCACCGTACCTCCTCTCCCCTCCTGGGAAGTGGAGTTCACCCTCCCAGGCTGTCCGGGCTGGGGTGCAGATGTTGGTGCACTCTGGGCTTCACAGAGGGCTCTGGGGGGCTCCACAGGCACACAGGCGGGCGTGGCCTCCTACCGTCGGCCCTGTCCCTCCCTGTGCTGTGCTCCTTCCCAGCCCTCCCCTGGGGAGCAGGGACCGGCCGGTGCCCAGGCCGCAGCAGCCCCATGAAGGCAGCTCCAGCGTTTGTGTTAAAGGGATGGGTGGCACGGGTCCCCTGTCCTACCACCCGGCCTTCTCTTGCTTCCAGCACGTGGTATTCTCCATCGGCCGGCTTCTCGACTTCCTGGTGCCCGACATCCCCGAGTCCGTGGAGATCAAGGTGAAGCGCGAGTACTACCTGGCCAAGCAGGCGCTGGCCGAGAATGAGGTGAGGCCCCTGGCCCTCAGTCTTCTCCTGCTCCCCGGCCGTCTTGACCGTCACGCTTTGGGAGGCTAACTCCAAGCCACGGCCTCCCCTGCAGCATGGGGAGGTGGGACAAGCCCCTTTGGTTGTGTTACTTTTTTTTGGTTGAGTCCAGAGTCTGACCGCCCACCCCCTTGTCTGCCTGCCCCTCCCTGCACACAGGCTCTCTTTGGGACACACAGCGCCAAGGATGACAGGGCCCCAGGCTCGGAGGCGCGTCTGAGCCCACAGGCCTAGGGTGCTGGCCCTTTCCCGTCTCTGGTCCTGCCCTCAGCTCGTTGTCCTCGGAGGCCCTGGGGCCTCTGTTTGAACATCCCACTTCCCAAGTCCTGACTGTGAGGGGCTGCCCGGCGTGCCCCTGCTGTCCCGCCAGAGCCCTGAAACCAGTGTCCTCCTTCCTCATACTCCCCTGTGGCCTGGACCTCATGTGGCTCCGTTCCCCCACAACCCCGTTCCTCTGCCCCAGGACTAGCGCATGGCTGTGACTGCCCAGTGGTGGCTGGGCTGCAGCAGGTCACCCACTGCAGCAGCTGGGGCCCCTGGGAGCCCGAGGCACCAGCCCCTTTATGCTGGCCAACATCCTACCTTCTCCACCTGTCCCAACCCCCCATCCACCTCACCCAGCCGGCAAAGCAGGCACAGAGCCTAGATGGGAATCTTCTTGGTGCCTGGTGACCCGTGTGCCATCCCCACCTCTGTGACACAGCCAGCAAGGCCAGAGGGTTTGGGGCTTCACCTCCCCTACCCAGCCCTGCACTGATCTCTGCCCCTCAATCCCCCAACGTTGGGATGGCAGGGCCGCCCACCCTACAGAGTGCCTGCGCCACCCTCAGGGCCTCGCCCAGTTGTCCATCCTCTCCCCTCAGCCACTGCCATCCCCCACAGGCCACCAGGTCCAAGTGCCTTTAGGACTGGGTTCTTGGGGAGTCCTCCTCCCTCTTCCAGCCTCTCCCACTGCCCCAGGCCCCCCACCCCGCCACCGCACAGTGCCTGCAGCCAGTGATCCCCAAACACAGAGGGTCAGGGACAAGATGAGGGAAAGCAGGAAACCTGAAGAGCATCGTATGGAATGCAGGGTGACCCCCTTCCAAGGTTTTCCTGTTGCACGATCATCTTCAAAGCTGGGTGCACGCATGGCACTGCTGTGACCCGGCCTGACTGGCCTCACCCGTGTGCCTTCCCACCGGCCCACAGGAGTCTTCTCACTGAGCTGACCTGGAATAAACATCCTTGATACACTCACACCTACCGATTTCTTTGGCGTAAATTCCTAGAAGCAGAACTACACTGGCGAAAAGATGTGGTTTTGAAAATGCTCTTGGCGCACCGCCGTGTTCCTCCCCAGACACCCGTCTGATCAAGTGGCACCTCACCAAGGGGTGTCGCTGAGACCTGCAGCCCCGTGGCCGAATGCTGGCCGTCAGTTTTCGGGACCAAGGCTCTTCCAGAACAGCTGTGCCCTCCCTCTCCAGGGAGATGGCCCCTGACCACCGTGGGTCCATGCTGCGGTGGTGTGGGGCCTCAGTGAACACGCAGACGCCACTCAGAACGCAGCAAGCGCCTGTCCAACGCCACAATCAGAACATCCACAGGCAGCTGCTGTGTTTGTGTTGTCCCAGCACTTAAATAAGTTTATGAAAACACAAGGTCATGCTTGAGTCCTGAGGTGTGAGTCCGTAACTCTCACCAAATTGACACACCACTCTGATGGGACCCCGAGGTCTGGTGTGCACCCCTTCCTGGCCCGGCCCTCTCCCGCCCCGAGTGTGGGCACCACCTCAGCCTCCCTCCATCCGCCCTTTGGTGTGAGGCTGTCCGTACTGCTGGGGTGACCTGCTGGCCCTGAAGGAGAGCCCCATGATTGCCTCATCCGCCGGCATCTCGCATCTGCTGTGGGGCCTGGGCCTCCCGTGGTGCTGGGTGCAAAGGGGAGGTGCTGGGTCAGGGGGCAAACGTGCCAGACTTCGGAAGATGCCGCTTGCCCCCTCAGCAGGGGCACATAGGGACAACTGGAATGGCAGAGGAGAAACGGTCCCTCCACTCAACACCCCTTCCCCAGCCAAGGACTCCCCGGGCCACCCAGGATCCAGCAAGGGGCCCCAGCTGAGCCTTCTCACCCGTGTGCAGAGCCCCGCCAAGCGGCTCCACGGTATGGCTGCTGGTTGGAGGCCTCCTGACTGCTGGGAAGGCGGGAAACAGGCCGGCACCGAGGGAACCGAGGCTTCATGGGGGGGCACCAGGCCACACCTGCACCGTGACCCCCACCTTACACCGAGACCTGTGCCAAAGCCGGCAGGCCGCCCCCGCGAGCACGCTGGGTGTGACGCCCCGGTCTCCAGATGGTGCACAGGCAGAAAAACAGGCGCTGATACACGGGGACAGTTTCAGGTTTTATTTTAGAATTTATAAAATTCCAGTGTCGTCCACATTCATGAGCCTTTACACACGTTTGCATATAATCTCCAAATTCCAAAGTTAAGGCCGAGGGATGGATCGTAGCTATGGAAACACAGGTTGTGGAAGACATTAACGGGGGATGCAGCTGTGCCCCCCACCCTGCCCCGGTGCCCTGCACAGCACCAGGGCCGCAGGGCAGTCAGGCCTGTCAGTTCATATCCTTTATTAACAGTGACAGCGAGACCCCAGGACAGCCGGGAGCGGGGCTCGCACCTACACCACGGGGGATGTGCAAAGTCGGTGTGAGAACTTAGGATCTAATCTTGGGGAAGGGGTGGGAGCCGAGAACAGGCTTGGGAAGAAGTCTGGGTGGGCATTAGAGGGAGCCAGGAGGGCGGGGGAAGGACAAGCTGGCCAGTAGGGGAGGCTCCAGATGCATGCAGATGGGAAAGGTGACGGGCCTCCCCTTTGAGGCCACCCAGAGGGAGGGGACAGTCGTGGAGAGGAAGTCAGCGCTGGGCCTTCCTCCCCACTGCAGTCACCTCTGCCCAGTCGGGTCCCCTGGCCGACGCCGTGAAGCCAAGGCTCTCTCCTGACCCGACTTCGGCTCCCACAGATGGGCACCATGGGCTGCTCGGCTGGTGGGAACCCGCCAGCACGACTGGAGCCAGCCTGTGCTGAGCCGTCTACTCCGGGAACTCGGGTCTGAAGATGACTGAGCGCGAGTTACTAAACAGAGCGAAACGTTCGGGAGGGGTGTGTTGAAGCAGAAGCGACCATCCCCAGAAGGGCCGTAGTGTGGATAGGACGCTTCTCAAGGACAAGCATCACCTCCAGGGAGAGGGAGGTGGGCGGGAAGACCAGATGGCCCAGGGACGAAGGGCCGCCTTGGGTCCTCGCAAGCAGACCCAGGGACACCCCGCTCACGCCGCCGTTTCTTCCGGAGCAGGTTTTGCCCTGTACCCCAAGGCCCCTCCCCGCAGACGCCCGATGAGGTGCAGCCTTCTCCGGCGCAGGCCCGCAGCACTGCTCCTTGCCCTCACCTCGTCTTGGGGCCAGGCCGTGGGATGGCCTCTGCCCAGGACCACGGCACCCGCCTGGTCCTCGGCCCCCAACCCCCAAGGGACAGCCAGAGCTTCCGAGACACGACACAGCCTGGGCGGCCGGGTGGGCCACCAGTGCCTTGGCAAAACCCGACCAACCAAAACATCCAAACCCAGAGGACCACGTGCTGGGTGGTGGTGCTGATCTCAACCCAGACCTGTCACGCTGGCTTTGAGGTAGAAAAAAGGCAGCTGTATACATTGTGTGGGGGGGGGGGGATGGTGGGCACAAGAGGGCTGAGGGTGGTTAAAAGAAAAGTGAGGTGTCACTGAGAGGCCAGCTGCCCTCACTGCGGATGAAGGACCATCTCCCCTGTCCTCCCGACTGCCGTGGGCCCTGGGATTGCCAAGGCCGAGCCAGAGGGAATGGAGGCCACGTGCCTGGAGCTGGGCTCACCCTGCAGGCGGGGCAGGTCAGCACCACCTGAGCTGCCACCCTCCTGCCTCCTGGGCCCCTTGAGCGCCTGCTGCGGCCTCGATCCACCGGGCCGGGGAAGCCCGCCGCACCACAGCTGGGGCTCCCTGCTCCCACCTGCGCCAAGGGGCCTGGCTGGCAGCTGACTGCGCTCTACAGAGAGAGGTCTGGGCCACAGGCAGGGAAGAGGTGGGAAAAGGAAGAGGGCAAACGTTTTGGCTTTTATAAAGTCGAGGAAATTTATTTCCTGAGGTCACGACACAGGAAGTGGACTCCCAGCCCGAGGCGGAGCTCTCAGAATGAAGGTCAGAGGGCCGACAGACATGCTGGGGGGCCGGGAAGCTCAGAGTCTGGTTACGGGTTATGAAATGTTCAATTACCTTGTTTAGTGTTTACAACAGTGGAGAGCCTGTCCCAGAGCAGAGGGGCCGGGCGGGTCCTGAGTGCAGGCCGCCCCGTGCTGGGTGCCTGCGGCCGCCCAGGCTTCCCTGCAAGACCTTGGACAGGGAGGGGAGCGTCGCCAATTACCAAGGGTCCAGCCAAGGTCAGATGGAGAGACCGCGGTGGTGGGACGGGGCCGCAGGCTGGAGAGGCTTCTGCTTCCTCATCATTATCGCTTCGGGCCCCATGGGAGGGTCTTGGGGGCCACCTGAGCCCCAAAGCTGGGGAATTCCTCAGAGCTGCTCATGTCCGGAGCCTGTGGGGATGACGGCCAACTCAGAGGGAAGGGCTGCCCCCTCCACCTGGTAGCCCCCAGACGGCCACCCACCCGCCCTCGGGACATGGGGGTCCGCACCCCAGCCTCCCCGGTGTGAGCCGCAGCCCAGAGGAAGCACCCTGACCTTCTCACTGCTGTTGGCTGTCCAAGGCGCATCCCGCACCACAAAGCCCTTGGACGGGGCCTTGGACTCCTCGTGTGCTGGGGGCTTCACATACACCTGTAGTGCCTCGCTGTCCACCACGTCGGCCAGCTGTGGACAGAGCGGCAGTCAGGCTGTGGCTCAGGCGGGCCCCAGACCAGGGTCCTGCTGCGGCCACCACGGGGGAGCCGTGTCCTCTCGCAGCATCCACCGCAGGCCCCTCCCCTCCTTGGAGTCCTGCTGCAGGCATCTGGGCTCCCCAGGGGCCACTCCTGTGCCTGGCCCCCCTGGGAGCCCCGCAGGCTGGGGAAGGCCACAGGGTCGTCAGGGTGCCCTTGACGGCTTCCCGAGCGCCCGCCCGCCTGCCTCCCCGCCCCTGGACTCACGTATTCCTCCTCCAGGTTGAGAATGTGGTCAATAGCTTCCTCCACGTTCTCTGGGAGGCCCGTCACGGTCACGCAGTTGGGGTCTGGGGCCCCGCTCTGAGGGAAGCGGATGTCCACCTGAAGGACAGTGGAGGCAGCGGTGGTTGTGGGTGCCCACGGGGACACCGGGGCAGCCCGTGTCCTGGCTTAGCCTACATTTAAAACCTGACCTCGGGCTGTTCCTCTAGGGAGTCCCTTTCCTGCCAGGTCAGACACAACCAGGGTTCAGGGGACCCACTTTGCAGGAGGCGGGGGGACCTGCATTTCAGGGATGGCCCCAGAATCCAGGCGTCCTGGCCCACCTGCCCCCTCCTACGACACGCCTGGAGCCTCACAGGTGCAGACCTGCATCCTGGTGAAGCCAGGTAACCGGCACCCCCCCACCCTGTCTGCACCAGCCCAGTGCCACGCAGCAGCTTCGACTGCCCACCCTGTGGGCTGCATGGGCCGCTGTCAACTCACTCCCTTCACACCTGCTCAACTAAGGCCAGCACCTGGGCCTCAGAGATGCCAGGAGTGTGAGGATGGGCTTCTAAGCACCTGCTGCAGCCGGCACGCACCTTGAACTCGTCCATGACCTTGCGGATGGCCTTTCCACGGGCGCCGATGATGCGGGCGTGGACGCGGTGGTCTAGGGGCACGTCCTCGGAGACCATCTGCTCGAGCTCTCCCACAATCTTCAGGATGGCGTCGCGGGCCGCCTCCGTGTTCTTCTCGTAGCCTGTGATGGTGATCTGGTCCTGGGGCTGCAGGGAGACTGACTGTCAGGGAGGCCACGGCCCCAACAGGAGCCTGCCAACCAGCATGACTGTGGCGGGAGAGGGGCTGTCCTCCCACGTCCCCAAGGCTCTGCACAGAGCACAGGGGGCTGCTGAGGGGCGAGCGAACATGAGGGAGCCGTCAAGTCAGGAAGATCCAGGCAAGAGAACGCCGGGGCCTGCTTTGAAAACAATGGCTGACGAGGCCGTTCCTTCTGTTCCCTCCCAGCTCCCCACAGACAGTGAAAGGCGGCAACAGAAGGCATCGCCCCCAGGGATGGGGAGGAGAGTCCAGCTGAGCCTTCTGCCCTCCCAGGACAGCAGTCTGAGGCAGCTTTGCCTGAGCACTAGCCGGCCTGCACGCCGTGCCATGGAAAGGTTGGCCTGCGGCAGGGACAACCACTCCCCCAAGCGTCCGTCAGTCTAAAGGTCCCTCTCAACACACAGTGGACAGGCAAGACCTCAGGCCGCGAGCAGGAGCAAAGCACACAGGAAAAAGGGGTGCTGAGGAAACAGACACAGTGGGGTGCAGGAGAGAGCCGAAAACGACACCACAGTTCATGCTCCCAAGATATGAAGACACGTCACACCCACGAGAACAGAATGGACAACACAGAAGGCTGAACGCTGGAGACGGCCAGAGTGGGGACGGACACAGTGGGGACGGCCAGAGTGGAGCGGGAACTTAATGAGACCAACCTGGGAGACATGGCCAGACCACCTCCAGACCAACACTGAGGGCGGGGGGTGGGCTCGCCCTGAGCCGGCCCTGCCCAGATCACAGCCCTGGCTCTGCTGGTTGACCACCGCGTGCAGCTATGGGCCCTGCCCCAACTTGGCTCACGGGGCAATACCCGGAACAGCCCAGATGCCAAATGACGACTTGGTGAGTACCGAATAGTGGGGTCAAGAGGTTGGAAACGGAGGCAATGGAGGTGAAAAGGCATGGCTGGAGCAAGGCTGCCTAGGGATGACGAGGGACACACCTCCACTGAGCCTCCAGGTGGGCGGAGGTGGTGTGCTGCCAGGGAGACCTCGCCCAGCTCTGAGGGCCAAAGAGGGCCCAGGCCAGACTGAACGTGTCCTCAGAGACCTGTGTCTCTTTCCACTCCTCCCACCTCTAGTGAGGCTGGAGACCCAGCGGCGGTCACCCTCACCTGGCTCCCGTCATCCTTGTCAGGGAACTGGATGTTCACATCGTGCTCCAGGCGGATCTGCGTGATCACAGCCCCCTTCCGACCGATGATCTTGGGGTGGTATTTCGGGTCTACAGTGACACTCAGCTTGAAACTCCTCAAGGCCTAGAATGAAACAGCGGAGCATGAGGCCCAGGACAGAGCTCTGCAGCCTCGACCAGCCCCTCCACGTCCGCCCCCAGAATGGGCCTGCGGCTGCCACGGAAACCGGACGGCTGACTGCCCCACAGCAGACACAGCATCCTCAGAAGGCGACCCAGGCAGAGGCTGAAAGGAGAGGGAGACAGCCTTGGGCAGGACACCGTCCCCCTGTGGGGGTGGGGGTCTCAGGCCCTGAGGCCTGGGAGGCTGCGTGAGAGCAGACAGCTGGTGTGGAGCACCTGCAGGTGCCGCGCTGCTCACTTGAAAATCAGCGGCTACTCCCCTCCTCAGTTCTCAGACCCCTCACCACAGTAAGTCCCCACACAATCATCATCTCCACCAAGGGGCGAGGAGAGGCCGGATCCCTATGTAACAGGCAGGGAGATCGCAAAATGGAAACGTCGCCCAGCCCGTCAGCCCGCTTGGAGGGCTCCCGATGCCCTGTGGACTGTGCTGCACACCCCTCGCGGCCGCAGAATGGAGGAGCTGCTAGGAGGGAGCAGACTGGGTCTCTCGGCAACAAGCCTCACTCCTCGCCAAGGCCCCACAGCCAAACTTACCCGGTCTTCCTGCTCGGCCTGCAGCTCCCTTACTCGCTCCAGCAGCCCAGCCTTGGCTCGGTCCAGGTTGGCAAGCAGGCCGGTGATGGCAATGGTATCAGACTGCAGCTCAGGGGCCGGGACTTGTATGTTCACCTGCACGGAGGGCGGGAACGCGCCTGGCTGAGCTGTGCTGTGGCGCAAAGGCACGTGCGTGTGAAGTCACGACCCTGCTCACCTGCCTCGAGCATCGGGACGTCACTGCGGGCTCCCAACACAGAGGGGACTGGAGCCCACCCGAGAGGACAGGGAGCCACAGCATGCCCACGAGAGGCGGCCACCACCAAGGGCGGGTGCCGCAAGCAGGGACTGCCCGGGAGGTGCAGGGAAAGATGCCAGCGCCTAGACACGGCCCGGCCTCTCTGCCGGGAGGCTGAGGAGACCCCGGTGAGAGACAACCGACGCCAGTGCCCCCCAGGAAACGGGTACACGAAGCCACGCCACCTCAAACTCGTCCATCATCTTGCGGATCCCACTTCCTTTCTGCCCGATGATGTACCGGTGGAGGTCAAAGGGCACCTCAACCTCAACAGTGACAGGAACCAATGCCTGCGGAAAGGGACAGCCAGGGTCAGGCCAGGGGTGAGCAGGCAGAGAGGGCCTCCGGCCACAAAGCAGAGACAGTATGTGTGAAGTGTATGTGAGCTGCGGCGTGACAGAACGTGTGAGTGAGGCGCGGTGCAAGAGAACCCTGTGTGTGAGCCGTGGCGTGCTTCCTGTAGCATTCCCCACATTCAGAGCACCGAGGTGGCGCAGGGGCGCCCAGGTGTCAGCACCTGAACAACTGATCTGCTAACCACCCAGGCCCCCCACATTGGCGGCGGGGGGCACACCTCCAGAGCTTCCTTGGCGGCCTCACACTTCTCCTTCCGGCCGGAGATGATGATGATGTCGCATCTCCTTGGAGAACTGGGGTCGGCCTCTTTGGCACCTCTCCCCTCTGCGGTCTCGTCCCCGTTCTCCTGCATGGCTGGCTCCACGCTGTGAACTGGAGCGAAGAGGAAGCTGCAGGGGCCCGAGGATGAGGGCCAGCGCCCTTCACTCAGGGCTGGACCTACTATAGCCAGACGGGAGGGAGGGAGGCAGGGAGGAGGCGGACAGGATCCCTGCCTGGCCCTCAGGGGCTCACAGCCCCCAAGGACGTGGCGCCCACGCAGCAGGAGGCACGGCCGGTGTCGCCGTCTCCCTGACTTTCACACGGAGCTGGTGGGAACGACATCACGGGTGATGCGAGGCTGATGGTCGAGCAGATGGGAGAAGGGTGTAGACCAGGGCCAGCTGAGGGAGGAAGGAGCCCAGGAGAGGACACCAGGCCCAGGCAGCAGGGGAAGATCAGGGGGTGGGCAGGACGAGCCTGAAGTGCCTCTTAGGCCAGAAAGGAGAGGTTCAGAGACCCACAACGCATTCCAAGGGCATCCCAAGGACACAGAAGGCGCTGGAGGCCCACTGGGTCCCCAAGCATCAGAATAACGAAACAGTGAGCAACGGTCACGACAGTGGTCATGAGATAAAGCGGCATGCAGGGGCTGAGGGAACAACAGTGAAAATATCTGGGGACTAAGTGGACCCAGCTGCTTTAAGCCATGAGCCCCGGGGTGGGAAGGAGCAGGAGGGAGGCTGTGGAGAGGCCTCTGGAGCTGCAGAAGCCGCGGGGGTGCACACGTGGACAAGTGTCACATGAACACAATGTGAGAAATGCCCACCAGGGATAAGGGGACGCGGTGTCCGCAAACGACACACCACCGATCAGAAAGCGCGTACACGCAGAGCGGGGCAGGCGGGGTGACAGTGAGCAGGCGGATCTGCGTGAGGGGTACAACAGGAAGAAGGGGCGCTGACGTAACAGACACAGCGGGGTGCAGGGGAGAGCCGAAAACGACACCACGGTTCACGCGCCCAAGATGTGAAGACACGTCACACCCACGAGAATAGAATGGACAACACAGAAGGCTGAACGCCGGAGACGGCCAGAGTGGGGACGGACACAGTTTGTCTTCGGGTGTGGAATTTTATCCAAATAAACTGAACATCGCCGCGCCAGCGAGAGCACAACTGCGGGGCGACGGCAACGTGCTAGTTCTCCGGACGGCAGGCGGGCTGACAGGGCTGCGCGCGCACAGAGACACGCTCCGTGGGGCCGGGCCGCTGACCCTGTGTGCTCCTCAGCAGGCTGAGGGTCACCAGCTAGGACAGAACCCACTCTTTGTTTCAAAGCAGCAAAGCCAGCTGGACACGGAATCCCAGACACGTTACCCGGAAGCGCACTGCCACGCTGGACCATGGTCCTCCCTCGGTCCCGCTGCACTCCGCGAGCACAGCCCCGCCCTCTTCAAGATTCTACCAGAACCAAGGGGGGGGGAGGGGTGGGGGGGCCTGGGACTGAACGGCTGTCCGAGAACCTTCAGCAACAGACTAACCTTCCCACAAAACGTGACTAATCACACAAATGACGGGGCAGGTGGGAGAAGGGAGCCCGCCTGGGACAGGGCTGTGGACCCATGTTCGACTGTTCAAACCCAACCACACACGCGATTCAAGTGATCTCCTGAGAAACAGTGGCTGGGACCATGGTGCCAGCGGGTAAACGCTGTGAGCTCCTGGACCTTCTTCTCTGACCTGTCGCTCCTTGTGAGCCTCTCTGCACCAGACATCTGTCACCATCTGAACAACGGACGCCACCCAGCCCACAGCTCTGCAACTCTCAGGCCACCAGGGAGTGGGCTGGCAGCCTCGGAGCCTCCGAGCAGCACCTGACGGGGCTGGAGCAGAGTGCTCGCCTCGAGTGTTGGTGACCCACGTTGCCGGGAAGGAGGGGACAGTGGCCGGGGATACGAGCTGGGACCACATGACCCCTCCCGTTCTCAGTAAGGGCAGGAACACTGGGACTCACCTGGGTTCTCCTCTCTGTCGGGGAACTTAATCTGTACGCCGTAATCCCGAGTGATCTGCTGGATCCGGGAACCCTTGGGGCCCATGACAGATCGGTGGAACCTCTGGGGAATGGCACATTCCATGGTCACCTGAGCTTCCTGGAGGGGCACACAGAGAGGAAATGAGCCAAGGTTAAGTTCTCAGGGTCCACGTGCGGCACTCAGCTGTCTTTACTGTTTCCCACTGAGTCCTCCCACAGACACCCCGTTTTTCCGAGGTGGATGAAGGAGGGGCAGGGCCACGACACACAGCACTGCAGAACATATTTCTGAAATGTTCCCAGAACACGCTGACCCGCCCAGGTGACCTACCAGGTCCTCAATTATCTCCTGGATGCGCTTCTTGGCGGCCTCCACGCAGTCCTTGGCACCCTTGAGGGTGACCTTGTCGCTCTGCGTGCCGGAACGCGGGAAGCTCACCATCACGCCACCGTACTCTTCTGCAATCTCCCGCAAGACCTGGCCCCTCCGGATAACAAAATGGCGGTGGTGCTTGGGGTCCACCAGCATGTAGTCTTCCACCACGTTATCCTGTGTCGAGAGAACGAACAGATGTGAACTCCCTGCCCACCATCCCTGGCTGGGCTGGCCGAAGGCACAGCTCACGGGGCAGTGCAGATCCTGGGCCGGGTGGGTGGGCTCCGGGGCCTCACCAGGTTCTGAATCAGGGCCTCCAGCTCCTTCTGGGCCTCCTTGACAGCATCCTCCTTCCCAATGATGGTGATCAAGTCCTGGTCCTTGTCCTCGGCCGTGGGGAATATGATGCGGGCGCCGGTGCTATCACGCACCTTGCGGATCTTGCCGCCGCCCTTGCCGATGAGGAACTTGTGGTACTCCGGCTTGGCGCGAATGTCAACCGTGAAGCTCTTGGTTTGCTGGGGAAACAACCCACAGACATCAGCCTGACGCTAGCCGCGCAGACGAGAGCAGGAGAGCAGCGGGTCTGGTGGACCCTCCTCACGTGGCCACGGGCAGAGCTGACCACAACCCGACGGCAGAGGAAGCCCCAGGCAGACGGCACCTGTTTCCTCCACGCCATCAAAAAGACACTGACGGGTTAGGGCACGCGGCCCAGAAGCCCAAGCTGTTCTTGATCCGTCAGGAGGGTGCACGATGATGGTCCTGGGGGGAGTGGTGGCAACACAGCAGGATGGCACTGCCACCCCAGCCCCTCCACTCCCCACCAACTCCCAAACCAGACACGGAAACTGCTCCCGCGCCCCCATTCTGGACCTCCTAACACCGACCGGCGCGCTCTGAGACTCCGGCCAGCCTGGCCCAGGGCTGGAGGGGAGCAACCGCAGGCCCTGCACCGTCCCTGACAATGACAGCAGCTGAACTGTCACAGACCTCAGCTCTCTGGCCGAGCTCAGCAGAAGGGACAGAGGGACACATGGGCCACGAAAGACAGAGTGCACCTCTCTCTCTTCCCTCCTGACCAGGACTCTGGCCCATACCATAAAGAACTATGGAGGAAAAGAAGTGAAGAGGCAGGGTCTGCTAGCAGGCTACAAGGTCAGTGACTACACTGAGCTGTCATTTACTGAGCAGTTACAAAGCAATACATCTGTTAATGCTGGGTTTCCAAAACGCCACCTTGAGAGTCTGGAACTCTTCAAAGTCCTCCGCCAACTGCAGCATTATTAAAAAGCTAGTAAGTTTGGCAAATTAAATCCAGCAATATGGTAACTGGATAATACATCAAAATCAAGCGGAGTTTATAACCCAGATGTGCAAGGCTAGTTCAACATTAAAAGAAAAAATCTAATTCACCATAACAACACGACGTTAAAAAAAAACCATGTGATCACCTCAAAAGAGGCAGAAACCGCACCTGACAAGATCTAACATACAGGGTTTTCTGGAAGAAACCCTCAGCCAGCCTGGGACAGAAAAGAGTTTCCTGAACCCGAGGAAGTGCATCCGTGGAAACCCGCAGCTGACATCGTGCTCAACAGTCAAAGCGCAGGGGAGCCGGGGGCGGAGGGTGGGGCTCCCACCACCGTTCACCCAGATTGGAAACAGAGACACAAACTCATCTCTCCATGGACGGCATAGTTTTCTACAGACTCACAAGAATTGGCAAAAAAGTTACGGGCAAGCTTAGCATGGCTACGTGAAACAAGATCAAAGTACAAAAGTCAAAGGCACTTCTACGCACTAACACACAACTAGAAACTGAGAGGAATGAAGAGCATCACTCACAACAGCACTAAACACTACTTAGCTAGAAACCCAACACAATGTGTGCAAGATCGGTGAGCCGAAAATTACAAGACACCAATGAAAACTCAAAGACCTAAAACAACAGAGAGACAGACTGCAAAAGTCAGTGCTGTGGAGACACCAGTTCTCTCCAATCCATAGTCAACACATTCTCAAATCAAAACCCTAGCAGGATTGTTTCTAGAAACTGACAGCTTTTTAAAACTGATTCCAAAGTGCATATGAAAAAAACAAGCAGTCTGGAATAGCCAAAACCATTTTTAAAGAGAACAAAGTTGGAAGACTCACACTACCTGATTTGAAGACTTACAAAGACTGTTTCTCAAACCTCAGAACTATACACTAAGCAGGGTGACTTTAATGTACGAAAGTCATTAAAACACAGAGTAAAGCAGACAAGCCAGAGAACCAATTTCCTCTACTAGGTACGTGGGTGCTCAGACCTGAGAGGCCCTCAGATGTCAGTCCGGCCTCTGCCTCCCACTAAGACGGAAGCAGGCCCCAGGCCACGAGCCAGGGGTGGAACTGAACAGAGTGAGCGCCCTGCTGCCCTCCGCACAGCACACTCATTCCACCGTCCTGCAAGCTTTGGCTTCGCACCCTGGATGTAGGAAACCACCAAATGTGGCATGGTGGTGGCAGGACCACAGAGGTGTCAGAGCTGTCTGCCGACCTGCTTCCACTCTAAGGACACACAGTGACTCCCTTCCCCCAGGCACAGGATAAGCCCCACCGGGGGGCGGGCTCACCTTCTCCTCGGCCAGGTGCAGGAGCTGCTTCTTGGCCTTCTCCACATCCGAGGAAGGCCCCCTGATGACAACCGTGTCGCTTCCAGAACCTTCCACAGGAAAGTGGATGTGGACGCCACCGCACTCCTCCATGATGGAGCGGATCAGGCGGCCCTTGGTGCCAATGAGGGAGTTGTGCAGCTTGGCTGGGATGGAGACCTCCACCTCGGCAATGTTGGCCTGAGACGGAGCACAGCAGGGGAAGGAGGGCGGGAGAAGACGCAGTGAGAGAGATGACAGCACTACAGGACACACGCCCCACAGGGGCTCAGGGCCTGAGAATGTGGGGAGGAGGGGGGGAACACCACTACAGGACACACACCCGA